AGACTTACTCTACTGCGTACTAATTAGATGCTTACATATCATTCTGCCCCATTATGGTGCACTTCTCAAGGTCAAGGAAAATAACTTATTTAGCTTTTTAATCCCTAGCCCCTAGTACATATTGGACATCTATTAAATGTTTATTGATTTAATTAAGTCTGTGGTCTTAGATCTGATCTTAGCACTGTTCCGGAGCTTTCTAGTGGAGGGTTTATTTCTCTCAATTTGATTAGGGGAAGCATTCTAGAAATTTTGATGTTACCAAGAATAGAGTAGTTTTACTTCTAAGACTGACTTGTACACAGCTTATTGGCTCGTGAACTAGAACTATATCATGGCCCCCCTAACTACCAGTGACTGTTTTTCAACAGCTCCATAGTTGCCTTGGGTCATTCTAAATCACGATGCTATCAGTATTTCTATGGCATCTTGACAGAAAGCTCCTAGAACCCAACTCTCTTACTTTACAATGTTTTTACTCTCACCTTGTCAGCTTTCACTGGGAGGGATGAACTTATCATGCTTTTTTAGGCTATTAGCATTTCCCAAAAGAGGATGTTTTAAAAAGAATAGGTTTATAAAGAGATGGCACTTAGGGTATGAAACAGCGATTACTGGAAACTAAAATAGCTTCACATACACATTCACCTACTGATTCATTGATATTTACCATTGTTTTCATCTTTGATAGAATTAAAGTATATGAGGTTTTAGTAAAGCATGTGCTAAGGTTTCTCTGCATTACATATTTTAAAGATAAAGCAAGGACCATCTGGTTTAAAAGACTATTCTTAAAGAGACACAGTTACTTTGTTAGAAATCAGCTGAAAAGAAAGTCTTGACTAGCTTTCCTCAGAGTTCTGTCCTGTTGACATTGCATCCATGATTTCAGTGGAGATTCAGATGATACAGCTCTCAGGCTGGCTGATGGGAACGCATACTCTGGAGTTGGATAGGGTTGCTTTAGAATTCCATCTCTACCAAGTGTGAACTGTGTCATCACGGTGGCCAAGTTTAATTCTCTATGTTTTCGTTTATTTGTCTGCAAAATGGGGATAATAACAGTGCCTTCCTCACAGAAGGTAATAATAATAATCATAGTTCATATCCATTGATCATTTTCTAAGTGCCGAGTACTTCAATAGTATTATTACATTCTTACATCAGTTCCATGAGGTAGTGCTCATTTTTCAGATTCCAAAATAAATAAACAAACCTGAGGCATAGAGGTAATGCCTTCACTAGTAAGAGATGAAGCCACATTTCAATCCCTGATCTGCAATAGGGGATAAAAGATTGCAATCATCACCATTTGAGAGAATCTGCACTATGTAGATTCAGTTTTCCAAGCTGCACTAATAAACCTTCTTTGACATGACATTGCCCAGGCAAGCATATCATGGGCGTTTAGAGAATTAACAAGTTCCAGTCAGATGATATGTTAGAAATTTAATAAATAATAGATCATAATTATAGATAGCCAATAATACCGCCCTGGAATCACAACAGAGAGATTAGAGGAAAGACTACGTGGAAAAGCAGAGTTAAAGGAAAACGGAAGGTAAGCATTACAGTAGGATTGGAAAGGAAAGCTTGAACGTGCATTGCAAGTTGATTCTTTGATTTTTAATCTGTGATAAATTCTTGGACAATTATGAGATCTCACACTAGAGTAGGCAGAACAACTTAGTAGTTAAATGTACAGACTGTGACTTACCAAGGCAGCTACATTTAAAATAACTAATGATAACAAATGTTAGGAAGGATATGGAACAACTGTGGCTTTCATATTTTTATAGTGAGAATATAAATAAGTATGACCACTATGTAAACCTGTGGAGTGGTATCTACTAAAGTTGGAGGTATATATCTCCTATATCTCCTATAGCCCATCAGCTTCACCCATAAGGGTATGTATAACAGAAATATGGAAATGTGTACCACAAGTAGGACTTACAAAAATACGAATAGAAGCACTCATTTGTACTGCTAGAAAGCTAGAAAAAAAAATACAAATACTCGTCAGCGAAAAATTAGATAAATAAATTATGGAATAATAACACAATAGAATATCTTTAACAATGAATATGAAAGAACACAGTAACCATACATAGCACCTTGGATGAATCTAACAAATATAATACAGAATTTTGGAAACCGAACACAAAATAATATTAATATGTTTATATAAAAACAAAAAAAAAACTAGTTTTACTAATTAGTAGAAAACTAATTTATGATGTTAGAAGAAAGGATAGGGATTACTTCTGGGCGATGGAGAGGGTGGTGACATGGGGAACTATGAGTGGGCTTATGTGATGCTGATAATGTTTGATTGATTGTTATGGCTGGTGATTACATGAGTGTTTTAACTCTGTGAAAATTCACTGAGCTTCACACTTTTCTCTGTGTATTCTATATTTTGATTAAACATAAAGTTTATTGTCCAAGGGCATAGGCTATGGAACTCAAGCAAATTGCCCGAGTGCAAATCTTAGCTCCATCACTTGCTTACTGCAGGAGCTTTTCTGGAGCTGTGTTTTCTCCTTGAGAATAATGGAAATAAAAATCTCATAGCATATATGGAGTGATGAAGATTAAGTGATATATTACATGTAAAGCGGTGAGTTTGCTATGTGGTGAACTCTTTAGAAACGTTAGTTATCATGCTCATTATTGTAACATAGTGACTTTTGTTCTCTTTATCTTTTCATTACTTTCTCATGTTTTTGCTGAAAGGCTACATACAACCTATGGTGCATCTTAAAATCAATAGTTGCTCAGTATTGAGGATTCATATTAACCACTTTGTCATGGGCTTTGGGGGAGACTTAAATGAGTCTATAAATTCCAGTTCAGTATACTAGGTCTGTGGCTTTATGTACATGGACATGGTTATAGAATGAATGAAGAGTCACATGTGTGGTAAACATAGAGTGCCCTAGGGGACTGGAAAGGATTGGAAAAGAAAGATGTATCTGACTGAGGGAATTAGGCAAATATTTTCAAGGGAGAGAACCTTGCCAATTAATCAAGAACTGTGGCTAAGCTTTGGCTTTGTGCAATCTAAGGTGAGGGGGAAGGCTTTCAAGTGTGAGAGGTTGAAGGGCAAAAGAAAACTCTCCCCTGGACAGCTCCCATTCTCCAGCCTATCCTAGCAGGAAGCTGCTGGGAATGAGATTTTTAGCATTTGAGACACTAATGATGCCAGCTACAAAGGTGGAAGAGCGAATCTCTAGCTGAATTGCATACAGATATATTTTAATTCTGAAAAATCTTAGCTGGACCCCTCCTGTGTACCAGATACTGTGCCAGGTACCATAGGAATACAGAGATGAATACAGTCCGCCTCTGCTTTCAGGAGTTTCATGACATAGCAAGGAGCATGAAACAAGAGACCAACTTGAGAGATGGAATAAAAGATGCTTGTGGAGGGAGAAGCATGACAAACAACACTTATTACTGCATACTGGGCCTTCTTCACAATTTCACCTGGAGCAGATTCTTCTTATAAGAGAAATATGAGAATAGCTATTATAGTTGGAATAATAATCACCCACAAAGCCCAGTTTTGGAGCCCCTCAGTCATTTTTCTGTGATCTCAACTCAATGAAAATGAAATGGTGAAATACTGTTAATTCCTGAACAATGTTGAAAGAATAATGGGATATCAGAGTGCAAGCTGGCATGGCTCACTTGGTGACAGTTTTCACATTGACTTAGTTCTGAATAGAGTTAGGAATATCTCCTTGCTCTTTTGGCCTTTCAATTCCAAGTACTGAGAATTTACTGAACACCTGCCATATTTTAAACTAAGTAATAGAGATATAAAAATAAGACAAAGATTTCAGGGCATTAAATGAGTCAAAATTGCAAACAAAAAATGTCATACTTTGTGACAGTTGAAGAAGATAGAGGGAAAGTTCAAGGCAGAGAAAAGACACAAAATCAGAGGTGGTCAAACCCACCTGGAGGTTGAAAGAAAGGACTCACAGCTTCTATGCCAAATTTTGAAGTATTAGCAGGAAGTCACTAGCTCACTGGTTTTCAAAGTGTATTCCCTGGACCAGTAGCATT